CAGGGTGCCGTCAGCCAGACAGTGCCGGCTGGCGACCCCAAGGGGGAGGGCCTTCTCTGTGGGAGCCCCCACCCTCTGGAACGAACTGCCCCCAGAGATCAGGGTGATCCCTGATCTCCCTTCCTTCCGCCGCGCCCTCAAGACGTGGCTGTTCCAACTAGCGGGACTGGCCTGAGGGATTTTAAAGGGGGTTTTAAATATTTCGTTTTAATCAAATTTTAATTAAGTATATGTATATATGTTAGTATTTTATTCAATTGTCAGCCGCCCTGAGTCCGTAAGGAGAAGGGCGGGATATAAATGCAATTAATAAATAAAATAAATAAATAAAATCTGGCACAAAAGCAGTCATATCAGGGAAAATGCTTCCTACAAGTCAGCCAAGTTCTAAATAATTATTTGTTCTTCCCCCATTAGAGAAGGTTCCATCCATAGTGCTCCATCCACAGGCACAATATCCCAAAGTTCTCTCGGCAATTGCCAATTTACCTGAATAGAAACACCAAAGTTGTTTCCATCCTCTATCCTGGGAATCAGCAGTTGCACCCACATTTTGACCTAAAGAACAGAACAGCATGTTAAAGAAGAAAAACTGTCCTTGATAGACTTAAAATGTTTTGCTAGCTGAGCTCTGAATGCAACATTTGCTTAGCTGAAAGGCCAATTTCTTCCAGAACAGTCAGAAAAAGCTGTTATAACAAACATTTGAAGCCTAGTCCCTTGTGATCATGCCTAGCATTGGGTTAACATTGACCCAATGGTCAGACCTTCAGGCACAGGAGCATAGTCATAACTGACTGGTCTTCCACCCAATCAAAAATTGGTAGGCCCAATAATAATTGCCTATAAACAGAAATGTATCTTTGTACAGCAAAGAAGCAGGCAGTTACATCCGTGCTTCTCTACCTTCTGCAACATATGGAACCAATTCTGTTTGACAGATGGCATATAAATTAAAAAAATAAAACAGCAACAAATTTTGCTTTAATATAATACCCCTGCAAAAGGTACCCCTGCAGGGGATATTTATTAAATCTGTATACTGCTAGTTTCAACAAACTGATAATTACTATTACTACTTTCAGAAAGGCATTTGATTTTATCCCTCCCCTCTTAAAAGCAATATGTCTAATAACTGACCTGTAAGATAGAATCTAATAAGGCAAAAAAGGCAAACCAGTGCTTACTGTATTGCATTTCTCAATCAGCAGCCGAATCTCTGGTTTTACTTTCTCAATGATGTCCACCAGCTGCTGGTTGCTCTTCAGCATCCCATTAGGCATGACAAAGACTTTGGTACCTGCTGCCATAAAAATAGACTAGTTACTTATTCCATGAAAGAATGAAGCAGACTACCCCAACTTCTGCATAGAAATTCAAGTCTTTTTACCCCATTCTACTTTTAATCCAATTTTTAAACCCCATAGTGCAAGTGATGCTGATCTTTGGGGGCCACAGTCATACGTAAGCAACTTGCAGCCTTTGGGTTACATCTAATTCTGGAATCTCTGCTCTGTTTTGTTGTTGTTGAAAAGACTCAAGTTACAGCAATGACAAGAGGAGGTTGAAAACAAAACTCAAATTAAAACTAAGGCAACCGTGGCTTCCTTAGAGAAACAAAAAGGATTTCCAAATCTGGAAATCACGGGAATAATTTTTGCCACCACTGATTAATGTTCAAATTATACAAAAACCCTATTCTTTCTCTTTGTAAGATAGAAAAACAGTATTTCAGAGGATCGTTTCAAATTCTAAGGAGCTAATCATATATTAAGCAGCCACTTGTAACATACAGTGAGGGGAAAAAATATTTGATCCCCTGCTGATTTTGTACGTTTGTCCACTGACAAAGTAATGATCAGTCTATAATTTTAATGGTAGGTTTATTTTAACAGTGAGAGACAGAACAACAACAAAAAAAATCCAGAAAAAGACATTTCAAAAAAGTTATAAATTGATTTGCATTTTAATGAGTGAAATAAGTATTTGACCCCTTCGCAAAACATGACTTAGTACTTGGTGGCAAAACCCTTGTTGGCAATCACAGACGTCAGACGTTTCTTGTAGTTGGCCACAAGGTTTGCGCACATCTCAGGAGGAATTTTGTCCCACTCCTCTTTGCAGATCCTCTCCAAGTCATTAAGGTTTCGAGGCTGACGTTTGGCAACTCAAACCTGCAGCTCCCTCCACAGATTTTCTATGGGATTAAGGTCTGGAGACTGGCTAAGCCACTCCAGGACCTTAATGTGCTTCTTCTTGAGCCACTCCTTTGTTGCCTTGGCTATGTGTTTTGGGTCATTGCCATGCTGGCATACATATCCACGACCCATTTTCAATGCCCTGGCTGAGGGAAGGAGGTTCTCACCCAAGATTTGATGGTACATGGCCCCATCGTCCCCTTGATGCGGTGAACTTGTCCTGTCCCCTTAGCAGAAAAACACCCCCAAAGCATAATGTTTCCACCTCCATGTTTGACGGTGGGGATGGTGTTCCTGGGGTCACAGGCAGCATTCCTCCTCCTCCTCCAAACACAGCAAGTTGAGTTGATGCCAAAGAGCTCGATTTTGGTCTCATCTGACCACAACACTTTCACCCAGTTCTCCTCTGAATCATTCAGATATTCATTGGCAAACTTCAGACGGGCCTGTACATGTGCTTTCTTGAGCAGGGGGACCTTGCAGGCGCTGCAGGATTTCAGTCCTTCATGGCGTAGTGTGTTACCTATTATTTTCTTGGTGACTATGGTCACAGCTGCCTTGAGATCATTGACAAGATCCTAGCGTGTAGGGAAGAGAACCTGTGGCTCAGTGGCTAAATCACTGCCTAGTATGTATAACTTCCCAGGTTCAAATCCCATAAAAAGGGTCTGGCTAACTGATGAAGGCAAAAAAGCCAGAAATGGTCCATCTTGACACAGGAGCTTAAGAATAGACAAATAATTTTCAGATGGGATATACCTGTGGGCATAGTTGTAACACTGGCTGGCAGGCGCTACAGAATTAATTCGATCAAGAAAGCTAAGGATTTTATGGCGTCCGTTTTGCAAGCAGAATGTCCGCCCACATCACAAAAGAGCGACGTAGCTGAGCAATTGATTGTGGACCTCCCTTCTGCTTCCGTTCAGGAAGGGAGTTTAAAAGATAATGGGAAGGAACAAAGAGTGACTCGTGCAGCCCATAGACGCAAGGAGAAAGAAAGGCAGATGACAGCCCGCCCTCCAGCTGATAGCCCTACAGCTGATTGTCCGACACCTG